CAATTCTCCTGCCTCAGCCTCCTGAGTAGCTGGGATTACAGGCACGCACCACCATGCCCAGCTAATTTTTTGTATTTTTAGTAGAGACGGGGTTTCACCATGTTGACCAGGATGGTCTCGATCTCTTGACCTCGTGATCCACCCGCCTCGGCCTCCCAAAGTGCTGGGATTACAGGCGTGAGCCACCGCGCCCGGCCAACTGTCACTTTTTATAGATAAAGTTCTAGAAGCCTGAAGAGGTACTGGAGACAGAAAGTGTGCTGTGAATACAAATATAAGTAAGACACAAACCTTGCTCTTGGGGAGCCTGTGGCCTTATGGTGGAGTCAGATGTTATAAAAAGATCAATTTTTGCAGAATGTAATAAGCACTAAGCACTTTAAAATAAGGTTTGCAGAAAGTAGAATAAATGGAATATCTATGCCTGGGAATTCAGGAAAAATAAGCCTATTCTTTAACAGCAGGGACTATTCCTTATTCACCCTTATTTATGGCCAGTGCCTGGAAGGTAGTAGGCACTAGTATTTCTGATAAAATAAATGAACTCTCACACACACACACACACACATACACACACACACACACGAATGGAAAACCAAAACATCTGGAAGTAAAATGCATGAAACAGTAGTTATCTTTACCCAACTTCTTGGGTAACTAACTCCGCTCCACTAGGATAACAGAACGCTACAAAAGACGCTTCCCCTCAATGCCTCCTGAGCACACTCTTCTTCCTGTCCCCACAGCCTAGCTCCTTCTCTCCACCACCCCCCACACACTATTTTTTTTCACTTTCTAGTTAGCATTTACATGGATTTCATACCCTGCTTTTATCTTCCAGCATTCCTGCTCCCCATTTACTGCTGTATTTGGTGTGGATGTCTCTGCAGTAGGAGCTATTTTAAGGAGTCAGGCCTGGAAGAGACACTGAGAGAGCTTCTGGCCCTGACTCAAGGGCCTCCTCCTGAACACTTCTCTGTGATGGCAAGTATCTAGAAAATGCTGAAGAGCATTATGGAGCTTCTCTGCTCTTCCCAAGGCACTCAAAGGAAGGAGAGTATGTACGTATGGGAGAAGGATGCAAATAAATGCACCTCAAACATAGGATGCTTAGGTTGGGAATCAAGGTAGAACTCTAAAATGCCAGTTTTCATTGTGTTGCTGATGTGCTATCCTTCCTTTGCTTCCCTCCCTGCCCCACCTTCCTTCCTTCCTTCCTTTTCTTTCCCCTTCCTCTCTCTCTCTCTCTCTCTCTCTCTCTCTCTCTCACACACACACACACAAACACACAGAGATAAAACTGCTCTATCACCCAGACTGGAGTGCAATGGCATGATCATGGCTCACTGCAGTCTTGCTCTGTCACCAGGCTGGCATGCAATGGCATAATCATAGCTCACTGCAGACTCAACTTCCCAAGCTCAAACAATGCTCTCACCTCAGCCTACCAAGTAGCTGGGACTACAGGTGCACGCCAACGTGCCCAGACAATTTTTTGTCTTTTGAAGAGATGGAGTCTCACTATGTCTCCAACTCCTGGCCTCCCAAAGTGTTGGGATTACAGGCGTGAGCCAGTGTACCCAGCATGGGGTATCACTTCTTGCTGTAAGGCTTAGCTCTGAAGAGTGCATGGTGGAATTTCAGTAACTCTGAACCACAGGTAGAGCACAGTGCCAAACACCCTCCTTCCAGGTGATTTAGTCTTGCTTCATATTTCTTTCCATCACCTCTCTCCTTTCCTTGCACCAGGTGATAGGCCTAGTGTGCCTTTCTTCCCCTCTTCTTTCATGGCAGGGGAGACCCCAGAAAGGCAGTGGGGTGTACTGGTTGGTGAAACGGGTTTATATCCTGACTGCCCACCTTCCTATACTTATCTATGTGTAGCCATTGATAAGTAAGTTCTTTAACCTCTCTGAAGCCAGTAAAACAAGGATAATACCACTTAGCTCACAGGTTTACAGTAAGGACTAAGATAAACATAACACATGTAAAAGCACCCAGCAGAGGCACTGACAGATCACAGGTACTCAGTAAACTTTCTTTCCTTTCTCCTGTTCGCGAACACACCACACTTCTTCCAGGTACCAAACCATCCAGAAGCCACAACGGCTGGAAGGGCAGGAAGCAGGGGGTAGACAGCATGTATCCTTTCCTGTATCCCTCATTTAGTGTCTTTCCTTTTCAGAGATAAGAAAATTTAAAAAAAAAAGAATATGATAAAAAACGGGATCATTTAAATAAGTGATTCATAATGAAATGACCCATAATGAAACGTAGAAATCCGGAGGCTCTTTCGTGGGGCTGCAGTTTAGAGGACGTAGCACCTGCTTACTGGGCCAGCTCAAGAGATCCAAAAAGAAATTTCTTTCTTGTCTTTATGTCACTTGTGGCATACAGGAGACAGGATAAACTTGCCTTAGCCATTCTCTGTCTTCTAATCTGTAAACACATCATCCAAAATTATTTCCTTCCCCCATAAAAAGACTAGAAGAACTGTTTGAAAATAAGCTATTATGGCTGAGTGCATTGTTTCAATGTGGGTTTCATTTAGGAGATTTAATAAATGCTACGAAAGCACTACTTTCCCTAACCTCTCACATGGCACATGACCACCTTAGTGAGTATTTAGCACCTTACCTTTACTTTTTCACCATTAATCTCCACTGTCTTAATCATAAAATCAACTCCAATTGTGGCTCCTTGACCTGGGGGGAAAAGACCCTGAAGAAGAAATAATAGAAAGAACAGCTAAGAAAATACTTTAATTAAATGAAAGTCTTTCTCCTCTTCCCCAGCACCACCCATCACCAGGTCGTTCCTTCAGCTGAGTTAACAGGGAGAAAAGATAACTCTGGCTCCTGTCAAGGGAGTCCTGTGCAACTTTGTATGTATATCTTGAGGGAAAGAGAAAGGAGGGAGAAAGTGGGAGAGGAAAATGCTGAAAGAAGAGATAGGGGGACAGGGAAAAGGAGAGAAAGACAGGTGAAGGAGAAAATTGAGAAAGGGCAGGTGAACGTGATTTTAAGAATGAAACAGAAAAATCGGACATGAGGATAAGAAGGGCATGCAACCACAGGGATGAGATTAGAATTGGAAGGTGGGGGCAAACAGATAGGTTCTTTCTGAGAGGTAAAATCAAGGATACTGAAAACTAGTTATCACTCTTGAGCATGGACAGCTGCAGGAGTGGAAAACAATACGAAAAAACAAGTAAGAACTCAGCATGAGAGGCAGGAATAAGTCAGTTTTGGGATACGTCTTTTTGGATCTCCTGAAGCTTCTGAATTTTCCTTTGCCTCAGGGTGATCACTGTTTTCCTCAGTGCAATGTACCATGCATATATAATTACACGGGACCAAAGCCAATGACACTGGGAAGATCATCTAAGAGAATTAAGTCATCAAGGAGACAGTGAGGTAGAAACAGCGCTAAACCAGGAGGCAGCAGCCTTAGGATCTCTTTGTAACCTCAGACAAACCACTTGCCCTCTCTGGGCCTCAAATTCAATGAGTTTGAGGCTGATGTAAGCCATTTTAAACCAAATAAACAAAATGCTTTACTTCAAACGGGAAACTTAACCAGAAAGATGGGATTTTAACAAAGTCACAAGTATAATTTATGCAATTTACTGTTACATAATTGTTTCCTACAAGCTTAGGGAGGGAGTTGGGGGTAGCAAGAAATTCTATCAAAAAAGAACTCTTCACCCAGTTTCTCCAGAAATTAAAGTAAAATGGACTTTATTAGTTCTGGCAACTACGACTCAGACACCTTTAATTAAGAGTTCTTTAATTAAAGTCTTAGCTTAAAAGATTGAACTTCAAACCAAAACAAAATGTTCTACTGCATGTCTGCAAAAGATGTAAACATACATTCATAACTTTACTTTCAAATATTGAATCAATTTTCTTCTGTTTTGGCTTGGCTCAGGTACAAAAGCCGCCAAGTTTCAAGTTTATACCTCCAGATGTTTTGCAGCTCAACAAATGCCAAAAAATTAAACAAATTCTTCCCTTCCCCAAACCCTTGTGCCTAAAAAACAGCCAATTCATTTTAACTGTTTGCTAAATAACAAAAACAAACATAATTCTGCCTCTGAAATGAGTTTATGGTGGAGATGAGGGGATAGGAGGGGTAAAATGTAGACACAAAAGACAAATAAGAAGGAAGAAAAATGTGCTTATTGGCAAAAATTACTATTGAAAATAGAGACATTTTCATATCTAATGACAGAGTTTGTACTTTTTTTTTTTGAGACGGAGTCTTGCTCTGTCGCCAGGCTGGAGTGCAGTGGCGCAATCTCTGCCCACTGCAACCTCCACCTCCTGGGTTCAAGCGATTCTTCCGCCTCAGCCTCCGAGTAGCTGGGACCACAGGCGTGTGCCACCACACCTGGCTAATTTTTGTATATTTTTAGTAGAGACGGGGTTTCACCATGTTGACCAGGATCGTCTCGATCTCTTGACCTCATGATCCACCCACCTCGGTCTCCTAAAGTGCTGGGATTACAGGCGTGAGCCACCGCACGTGGCCAAGTTTGTGCTTTTAAAGAGAATGGTCTCAGAAGTTAGAATGTATAGGAGACAGAAATTATCAGGCTGAAAATCTGGAATCCAGGTTCTAATCCTAGTCTTGCCACTCTATCTAATCTCACAATATGAAATCCTAAGCAAGGCATTTAGCCCCTCTAGATCTGAGCTTTTCATCTATAAAGCGAGACAGCTAGGTTGAATAATGGAGGTAGGTTGAATAATCTCTAAGTGACATTTTAATACTAAGACAAGGTCAAGGAAACTTTTGATAAGGAAACTGAAAACTTTGCTACAGCTCTGCCGTCTTATCCTTTTGTCAAAAGCAGAAAATATTACTAATGTTAGGTAGAAGTAAAACCCAGTTGGAGTTTCCAATATATCTCCAAGGCGGCTGACTGAGCCCAGATGCCTATTAGCTTGTTACTTTTGATTTCACGAAGCCAAGGCTTAGTAAGAAGCATGGGTTCTATTCTGTGTTCACGTACCAGGGAAAAACCCTGACGTTTCCAAAGTGACTGTGGGCCCTATAGCTGTTAGTTATTCAGTCTGCCTCTCTCGTTTTCCACAAAACCACAGACTGTCAAAGCTGGAAGGGGCCTTGGAGCTCACCCAGCCCCTAATGTGCAACAGGGAGTCCCAGGAAAGGGAAGTAACTTGCCCGGGCTCACAGAGCAAGCCAGGGCCAGAACCAGGATTAAAACCCATGTCTCAACTCCCAAGCCAATGCTCTCTCCACAGAGCCAGGCTATCCTATGCCTTAGATAGAGGAGCAAGTCCCAACTTGCTGAACAAGTACTTTATAAAAATTCAAGATACGTATGTAATGGTCCTAAAAAGGGTAACATTCATATTTTTCAGGGAAAAACATACAAAAAAGGTCAACTTTGGAATGATTTCTCAGTCATTTCTATATAAAAGCAGTATATATTCTCCACCAGTGATTCTGAAAAGGGAAGTCCGAAAGGGAACTTGTACTTTGATCTTATGATAAGAATTCAATCCAGAGGGACCACTCAATTCAGTTCAGATAATTCTTCACTATTCTCATTTCATTCCCACTGAAGAGATTTAGAAAATTGACCTATTTGGTTCTAAATGAAAATGATTCATTCAAGTTTCCTGGGAGGATGCAAGGGGGCACAGGCAGAGAGTTGGATTGGTTTAATCTGCAATATTTAGGTTCAGTTTGATGTCCAGATTCATTTGTTTCCACCTGGGGATTATTAACTAGTGACTTACTTTTATCTAATGATTTAGTTTTGATACTGTACACTGACAGCAAAACCACTTGCCTCTGTCGTTAAAGGAAGCAAGAAGAGGTATGGGAGGGTTGGTGGAGACCCCCAGGGCCATGCTCTCTTGAGGTGGTTTTAAAACCCCTTGTCTAGGCTAGAAAGCAGATGCAGCTTTCAAAGGGTGAATTAGGAACTCATGGCTAAGATGCTGGCATTGGGACTGGCCATCCATCTTGACGGATTCCCCCAGTCCCTCAGGCTAGACTGAGAAACCCAACCCCACGCTTCCTGGTTCCCTTACCTGAGTGAATCTTCGGACGAGGCACGTCTTCCCCACACCAGCGTTGCCAATTAAAACAATTTTGAACAGGAAATCATAATCTTCCATACTCATTTACACAGCTGGAAGGCAAACACAGGCAAAAGTGAGAGGGGTCCAGACAGACTCGCCCACAGAGCTCCAGCTGCACCAGCTTTGTCTCCTGAGGAACAGGTCTGACTCATTTAAAGAGCAATTTAAAGCTCCCCTCTGGTGACCCTGCCAGTGAGAAACAAAGGTGTTTGGTCACAGACGGACTTTATTCCTTCTCAGCTACCTCATGCCACAGAGACTAAATGACGCAGATGTCCTTTCACCTGGTAACCTTTATTCCTCCAAGCTGTCATGTCTCAGGTTCCTCCTGTGATAAATCTGTTTTCTTTTAGCATGAAAAGGAGATTACAAATCTATGTGCAGGCAAGCTGGGGTGCAAAGAAGCAAGGACAACAGCGAGCCCATCCAGAGCTTAAAGGAAGTTTATAGAGTATGACTCTGGGAAGACGTGCTAGTGACTAGGAGACTGAAGGAAGGAGAATGAAGAGGAAGTAACTATGAAGGGCCCTTTTAGTCTCCTGCTTCTGGAAGTCTTAGGGTCTTACCAATGGGATCATAGCCACCTTTCCCCTCTATCTCCTACACATCTCCTGCCAGCTATGCTGATGCTACAGGGCCTCCAAAAGTGCCTGTCTGTTCCCTCCTCTGGGCTTTGCTATGTGCCATTTCTTCTGCCTGGGATGCCTCCCCTTGCACCCCTTCTGAGTCTTGAAGTCTCTGATGGTCCAATGTCGGCATCTCTTTCTCTTTGAATCTTTCACTGATCTTTGCCAAATAAAGTCCAACACTTTCACCATTCTTCTATCCTAAAACTTTACTTGCTGTATACAATTGTTTGTTCAAATATCTGCCTCATCCTTAAGGGATAGGATTATGCCTTTCAGCTCTATTTCCTTGCCCCGAGACAGAGTTACACATTGTAAATGTCTATCCTATGGAAAGAAAAAAATTAATCGGCATGTTGCTTATGTGCAGGCTTTAGTTTTTCCAATTGTGCTAAAAAGACTATGACTAAAAGGGCATACTAAAAGAATGCCTTGTCTACTTCAGTGTCCTGCTATGAAGATTTTTAAAAACTTACAAAAGAACCTTATACAAAAATTACCCACATGTGGTGGCACATGCCTGTAATCCCAGCCACTCAGGAGGCTGAGGCACAAGAATTGCTTGAACCTAGGAGGCGGAGGTTGCAGTGAGCTGGGAGATCACACCACTGCACTCCAGCCTGGGTGACAGAGCAAGACTGATGCCCATAAAGCCCTATCCTGGTAAAAGCAGTTGTAATCTACGAGGTGCCTATTATAGTACTCTGCTATCACCATAAGAAATACAGAGAAGAGACAATGTCTGCCCTCAAGACCAACCTGAGAAAAGTTAAATAACACTTTGAGCCCACAGTGGAGCTCTTTTCCTAAGGTGTAGGCAGAACAGGCCCAGTAGACTCTGGAGAGAAGGGAAACCGGCAATTAGGGAGCGCACGAGGGGAAAGGGTGCTTGGAAGAGTAGAGAAGCCTCAGGGTCACTCCTACCAGCAGACTCAAATGCCTGCAGGCTTGCAGGGCAGAGAGGAGAGCCCAATCAGCGGAACATGTCAAGTAGCCAGGGGAGTAAATTCCCTGTGTGCAAAGATGATGTCTGTGTAAATTTCAATTAATCCTTGGAAAAATGACTGACCACCAAGCCAACATGTAGGTGGCAGTTCATGGGGTTCCATCCCAGTTCATTGGGACTGTGAAGGAAAAACATTTCTCTGTGTAAGAATCTGGGTCCATAAGCAGTGGTAGCACTATACCTGGCCCTTTATATATATTTCAATTTGTTTCTACAAGTATATAAGGTTTATACTTACTTACATATTATCTATTTTACAGGTTAGTGAACTGAGGTTAAAGGATATTAAGAGGGTGGCCTGAAATCATATAGCTAAGAGCCAGACTTCATGTTCCAAAGGCATATGGTATCATAACAAATGGAGCCAGAGAGACCGAGGTTCAAATCCTGGCTACACTGACCTTCTAAGCCTGTGTCTTTGGGCAAATGACAATTTTTCAAAGCCTTGGCTTCCCCATCACCAAAATGGGGCTAATAACACCTATACCACAGAATTGTGATGCTTGAAAGAAAGAATGGGAGCCCCTAAGGACAGCCCCTGGTTCTCTGTCACCCAAACTCCTTAAAATAATTCTCAAGTTTTCCATGATCTGGTTCCTGCTGTCACTGCCAGCTCTGTCTCCTGCCACTCTCCTCGCAATCCACAGTTGCTTAAACACCATGGGATTGCTTTTCTTCTCAGACCTTCACATATATTGTTCTGTCTGCACAGAACACAGAACACAACTGACCCTCACACCCTCCCCCACCACCCCAAGCCTCCTCTAGATCTCAACTTCAACATGACTTCCTCCAGTCTGCTCCTCTGACTACAAGAGGCCTGGGCTTCCCTGCTCTAGGCTCCCACAGTGCCCTCCTCCTCTCCTCTGTAAACTCATTATATTACCTGTAATTAATTATTCACATCTCACACCCCGGCCCCATCCCTCAGCACCTCAGCCCTACACACATGCACACTCATGAGGTCAATGAGGTGTCTGGTTCAGTCCAGATCATCACCCCTCCCCATCATCATCATCTCATTCTATATTATTCATTTAATTCTCAAAACGACTCTATGAGAGGGTTGCTATACTATGTGTATCGTAACTTGGTAGAGGGGGGTGCTGAGACACAAGAGAATTTAAATAAGCAGTCATAAGGTCCCATGGGTGATAACCAGTGGAGCTGAGATTCACACCCAGTTAACCTGGCTCCCTCATTCATGTCCTTGAACCACTACCCAAGTGCCTTTCACAATGCTGGCTCAGAGCAACAGCTCAAAAAAGATGGATGAATTACATGAAGGACAAGCACTTAACTAATGTGACTGCCCTTTACTTTTCCCCTCTGGCTTCAAATGCAAAACTCTACCACCCTGTAAGAGTTTAAATAATAATCAAAGTCGAACTCCTCATAAACACTCACAGACATGGTATGTCAAATAAATTCAATAAAGCTATTAGAAAGAAAAAGAATAAACTCACGGAAAGGCACAAGGACAGCAGGAAGACATAAGGCTCTGTGGACCACGGCTCCCTGCTTTCATAAGCCCATAGGAAACAGGAAACACAGGACTGGACTGCATTCTTTTTCTGTGCCTAGACTGTTTGACACATACTCGTTTCTACCTCTTTGCTGGAGGTCAAAAAACCAAAGCAGGAAATCCAGAAGAGAGTGACAAAAATAAATACTTTAGAAACAGGGCTCCTAAAAGAGGTTAACAGTGCCCAAATTATGCACCTTTAGAAAAAGAAGGTGAAAAAGAGGCTTTGTCATAGTGAACATTATTTCATGTGGTTACCACCTAGAGCAAGCCCCAGAATAAAAGTTAAGACACTAACTCTTTCTATAAGAAATTACTCTAATGCTGTTGAATGTTTTTGTTTGTTTCTTTGTTTCGTTTTCTTTTGAGACAAGATCTTGCTCTACTGCCCAGGTTGGAGCGCAGTGGCATGATTACAGATCAAGCAATCCTCCTGCGTCAGCCTCCCAAGTATCTCAGATTACAGTTGCAAGCCACTGTGCCCAGCTAATTTTTAAAATTTTTTTGTACAGACAAGGTCTCACTATGTTGCCCAGGCTTATCTTGAACTCCTGGCCTGAATCAATCCTTCTGCATCAGTCTTCCAAAGTGCTGAGATTACAGGTATGAGCCACTATGCCAAGACTTGTTGGATATTTTTTAAAAGGAACTCTGGGTAAAAATTGGTCTTTAATAATGCAGGCTGTCTAAGGCTAAAGCTGGATTGTAAACTCCAGGTTATCTGTTGTAATTACTGTTTTGCGTCTAATGGAACGAATGAAAAGATCACAAGATTATCTGCAAACTTCTACTCTTTAAAGAAGCCCTTCTATTTGGTCCATAAAATTACAGCCCAGGAATTACCAGTCCCCATGTGATGGGATAGCATTTCCTCCTGAATGGGGGAAACCCATTCAGAAGCATTTACAGCCAGCCCTAAATTAACAACAAAAGTCATACCTCATCTGGGGGGAAGATATGCCACAAGATATGCTACTGACCAAACACTGCTGCAGCATTTTATATTCTATTATTGTTAACAATGATAACAGCTGGCACTTATTCAGTGCTTGTTATGTCCTGGGTACTCTTCTACATGTACTCGCTCATTTAATCCTCATAATCCTATGATGTAAGTACTCTTATTATTATCCCTAACTTGCATAAGAGGAAGCTGATACAGAGATCTCATCCTAAAGTCACACAGCTAGTTAGTCTCAGGACCAGGATTCAAACCTAGATCCATCTGACCCCAAAGCCTAGGTCTTTCTGCAACAGGATGCTGATGCCCCCTGCCTTGTAATTGACATTGTCTCTCTGTCATGAGGGCTAGAGGCTCAGTTGAATGATCCCCAGGCCCCTTTGAACTGCAGTGTTCTAGAATCTCCCCGCTCTGAAAGCAATACACCCACACTGATGGGGCCACACACTGACTTCAGATTACACAAGCGCTGCTCCTCACCATGCCATCCAGCCCAGGACTCTTTCAGGACCTGAAGTCAGACTTTAGCTGCACGACTCTCACAATCCAGTCATCTTTCATCCCTGTAACTAAGTACCAGGCACAGGGAATATAAACAGAACACAGATGAGCAGGCAAAATTCCCAGTATCGTCATCACCACAATAGTTCTAAATAAATGGATATAGGGATAAGATTCAAACTGGAAAAAATCGATGAGCAAGATGAAAAAATGAATTTTAAAAAGATACAGGAGATGAAATCTAGTATGAAAAGCTGAAAAAGAAAAAAAAAATTCTAAGCAACATGAATTTGGCAACATTTAAGCCATTCTTTAAAAGTGGCCGTTATCCAGCCTGGAGGCTCATGCCTGTTACCCTAGCACTTTGGGAGGCTGAGGCAGGAGAATAATTTGAGCCCAGGAATTCAAGGTTGCAGTGAGCCATGATCACA